GCCAAATCGCTGGAGCGGAGGCTATACCGAACACGAGTCGGTTGTACCGGAAGAGCCCACGAGGTGTGTTGATTGTCAGGTACTCTTTGTCCTCCTCAGCCACCTCCATTTGTAGGTAGGTAGGTGTGCCTTAAGTCGAGTTTCGTAAAGTACTTTCCGCCCGACAGATTAGCGAATATGTCCTCAATCTTGGGTAGGGAATATTTGTCAACTTGAAGCATGGAGTTTACAGTTACTTTAAAGTCCCAACATATTCTAATGCTAGAGTCTTTTTTAGGAACTACCACAATGGGCGTGGCCCAGTCACTGTGGTCTACTGCCATTAGTATGCCGAGATTGACAAGGCGATCCAACTCTTTCTCCACTGCTGGTCTCATTGAGAAGGCTAGCGATCGTGCCTTAAAGAACTTGGGTGAGCTCCCTTCCTTTAGAATGAATTTGGCCTTTGATACCCTTAAGAGTTCCCAAGGACTGATTAAACACTCCCTTGTACCTTTCCATCAGCTGAGTTACTGTAACATGAGATGATTCCACCGCGTTTACAGTATGGATCTCCCCCCAATCCAGTTATATATGGCTCAACCAGTCTCGTCCAAATAACGGTGGACCCCCTTCTCTATCACGTACAAGGGGAGGTTACTCCTTTGCTGATTCATACCGACATTTACGTCTATCACGCCTAGAGGGTTAATTACCTCTCCAGAGTAGGTTTATAGTTTCACCAACGTGGGAGTGAGCTCCTTCCGACCGAAATGTTTTTCAAAGTCTTTCCTTGACATAACCGATACCGCAGAGCAAGTGTCCAGCTCCATGTCCATCCCAGCACCATTCACCATGGGCGTCACTGTGATGGCACTAGAATGACGCCGCCCTAACGAGTCAATACCGAGGCTTGCGATTAACTCATCGTCATGATTGTCGTGCTCGCCGTGGTCAAGCGCATGTACCTTCAAATTCCTACCCCTTTTACTTTTCGCCTGCAAACATGCCTTCAAAATGTGCCCAACTTCGCCACATCCATAACACTTGTCATTTTTTAAATAACAGTTCCACTCGTCATGACTTGTTTTGGTACACCGAAAACATGGTTTTCTTGGGGTTGGGGCTGACTTATAATTATGTGTACCCTTTTTACCTGGTTGATAGTCGCGCAATTGGCCGTGTACCTTATGAACCGGCATCGATTTGTGCCTTCCTAGTTCGACCGCATCTTGAGGGGCAGTTTCCATGGCGATTGCGATGTCTACAGCATTTTGATAATTGAGTTCCCTCACAGACAGTAACTTCTTCTGTACACAACCACATGGTCAGAATTGACCGTTTCAAACGACAGACTTTATACACAATTTCTACCTCATCAGTTCATTTTAAATTGATGTCATACCTTTCCGTTACCTCCTTGATTGGTTTGCGTGGTTATTTTTCCATACCTCGCCGCCAATGTTGTGTATTTGTCACACAAAAGGTCCATGGGCATCAAACAACCTCGCACAGTAAACACCATTACCAGATACTACGCATGTACACAATATGGAGGGACCCGGAATCGGACCTAAATCCGGAATATACAACATGTATCACTATTGACAGTAAGACAGATTGATAATTGATTGCCTATCACTGTATATATTGACAGGTATTCTGACACAATTGCAACACTATTTAGATAGGTGAAATATAGTGATACATGTTACATTACTAACAGAAAATGGTATAGGTATTATTTTAATTTCAATGAGAGGGTGGATATATCTCAGGGCTTCAACTATACTTAATAGTGCTTTACCTGGAATTGAGGATTATACACATTTTTAATGTTTTGCTATATGAATTATGTTGTTAATCAAATAAGTATATATCATATATATTTCCTAGACCAAATAGTATTGCTTAATGTGCACCAAACAAATGATGTGCTGGGACCGCTGAATCATGATGTGGAATTACTTTGAAAAGAACCTGAGGAGTTCCTCGAGTTAGCCTCAATGGGTTTTTTTCAGTTTCTATTATTTTGACAGTCTGACAGGTAGGTTAGATTTCTGATTTGATAAATATGTTTTACCATGAATTCATATATTTAAATACTTATAAAGTGCATGATGTTACCATGCATGTATCTGGCTTGTGCCTTTTTGGTCACACAAAGATTAATCTACACAACTAGAACCAATCTGATGATGAAATGTGAATCACTTGTCTATAATACATGTGATATTACTTTTTTCTGTGAAAGTAAATGTTTATGTATGTAAACAGTCTGAAACAATTAATAAAAGTTCCTCATAATGTATGTGAAAGTTAAGATAGTTATAAGTTTATAACCAGTCAGAAGTGAAGCAATCAATATTTTTTTCTTACATGTCTGTGATAGTTAACACAAGTTTATGACTAGCCTGAAACAATAATTAAAAATTGATAACCTAACTTGTGATAGTAATACAAGTTTTATAGCCAGTTTGAAACAAGTGATAAGTTTTCCTAACATGTCGGTGATAATAAATATAATTAAATCCACATGTATATTCATGCAGTTTTAAACAATGTACATTTTTCTGTTACATGTCTGTGAAAGTTAACACAAATTTATAACCAGTCTGAAGCAATGATTAAAAATTCATAACCTGTCTGTAATATTAAATACAGGTGTAATTATTGACACTGATGATGGGTCTGTGAAAGTAAGTACTTGTGTATTACCAATCTGAAACAATAAATAAATGTCCATAACCTAAAGTAAATTTGTAATTTTAAATTCTTGTGAATTGGATCTGTAATTATTGTGAAAATTGATGTAATGATGTCTGCGATAATATAAACATTTAATCCACATACATTTATTGTTAAAAAGAGTTTCCATAAGTAATTTTACAAGCATTGTTTTGAGTGTTTGAATTCAGGAACCGGCTATCAAAGGCTTCGGGTCTCACTTAAAAGCGTCTTCAAGTGACAACAAGCGTCGCCAGACAAAGTCTTCAAAAATACTGAATAAAGTAAGCGACATCAGAAGATATGTTGTTAATATGACAATAATACAACTCTGTACCAAATTTCAATTTAATATTTGAAAAATTGACCGAGTTATGATGAATTGAAGTTTTACGATCGCGGCGTAGCACATGTGTGTAAAGTGAAGAAAGCGTCGCCAGATAATGTCGTTAAAAATACTCGCTAAAGTAAGCGACATCAGAGGATATGTTATTAGTTAGACTTTTATTGATATATATTCCAAATTTCAGCTCGATATTTGAAAACATGATCAAGTTAAGACCGGATTACATTGTGGAACTCTCAGCCACATGCGTGGACATGGACGTGGTTCTACTCATGGTCCGTTATATGTTCGTGTGACTGATCGATTTAATGTTGGTGTTTAAAAAAAATCCCTAAGTACCTATAAGTTTAAATGAAGACTACACTAAAATTTAATGGTTATTGCTGTAAAGGTAAAGCTGAAAAATACAATCGTTTTAAACTTCTTATGAAATAACTGGCACACAGGTGTAAATATCGGTATTTCATATAATCAAATACATTTTGTCTGTATACGTAAGAATAACAGTTTCTCTGTTCAAACTCGTAAAGAAATCAAATGTCAATAATTTTCACATCTTGAATCCCGTTCTGCAGGCACACAAGCGTTGTTAAAGCGTAAAAAAGTTCTTCATTTAGCGTAATTGTCATCAGGGAACTAAGTTACAACTTTTGTTGTTTAACAGGACCGTGCGTTTCAGTGCGATTCGCGTGAACACGTTTTCGCGTCCCTGTTTTTTTGTGATTGCTGCGGTTTTAGGTATTGTTAACATACCATTCGTAGATGTTAAAAAGTATGTTTTCTCTCACACATACTTTTCCAGTCCCCTAGAAGTTTGATGATGTGATTCATCGATTCGCAACCTTTCGGAATTGCGCAATCTCGATTCAATCACCCTGCGCTTAATCGTTGGTAAAATCTTTACTGACCAATATCTTCTTAAACGTGTTCTATACGACTCGTCAATCTTTTGTGCAATGGTATTGAATTCTTTTATTGTATCACCATCTTCACCAAAGATTGATGACATGATCGGGGCCTTGTCTTTATCAGTCACGCCAATTTTAACTGACAAATGTCTCGAAACATTTTCCTGTATGTGTCGTGTACAGAAAGGTTCGACTAGCGTTGTTCTGTCAAAGACTGCGCTAGTCGCCTGCTTAAACGGCCCTTTTCAGGGCCACCATCTTACTCAAAAAGTCATGAGAAACTCGAAAAATTACGCATGCCCTCCCACTATATTAGTTATAATAAAAAAAATATAAAGATAATTAAACTCATTGTTAATCGTAATTATTCTTAATCGGTAACAGTTAAAATCTAAATTGTTCAATAAATACAATAATGTTATTCTTGACACAGCTGATTAAAGGGGTATCAATGTTTATATATAGCAATTTATTCTAACTGTGTTCACCTATGCCAGAGACGTATAATACATACACGTCTCTGCCTATGCGAAGCCCTACCCTACGTACACATATGTGGCACGGCGTATAGCTTCGTATGAATTGAATTCACGATAACTCAATCATTTTTCAACAAAATCAAATTAAATTCTGATCGTTAAGTTACCCATGCAGGAATTATTTTCCTTCCGTTGTGAAATACATAGCAATAACCCTTTCTCCACCACTTACCCCTATATATCTCCTATTTCTTTTTTAAATAATGTAATTCCCGCTACAACTAGTCGTATATTTGTTGACACTGAACTTCTACTTTCACTTTCACATACTTCATTTCCGGTTAAAAAAATACGCAACTCTGCGGCTACTGATTAACTCCTAGACCATGCACAGCTGCCGTTTGCCGGACTCTTACTGAGTTTTATGTGGGGGAAAAAACAATAATTCATATAATTTAATTAAAAATATGTCATAATGTATTAAATATACCCATTTGCAATCAAAATTAACACATAAGCATCGCTAAAACGGTCCGACTCTGCTCTGTTCCTGCCCGATCCTGTGCCGTTCCTGTAAATCGTCTTACCGGAACAGGAACATTTTGTAGGCTCCCCGGTGTCAGTCGACGGTATTTGTACATATGTAACCAGAAACTTTAAACGTGTACGGCATAGTTAACGCCAATGAATCTTGGACATTCTAATGTATTTCTGAAATGACGACAAACCAGTATGATCTCAAGGACTACGGTGGATCAAAAGAAGAAAACTTAGTCAGAAGTGTTTTCAAAAATATTATTTCCGATTCCGGATTTCTCTTACCTGCATTTCTAAACATAGTTATACAAAGTAGTAATGCCATTGAAGGGAAATCATTCAGCGACGCATCGGTCTATCTTCGACTAAACTATGAACATGCCGAGGCATATGGTAAAAACTATATCGAAGGATATCCCGAGTGCGGGGGTCTTTACTTGAAGGATATACTAACTTTAGATATTTTCAAAGAATTTCTGGCGGATGGAGTAGATGCAATCAGGAAAAACTCGACTGCTTGTCGTCAATCATTCTTGGCATTGTTTGAATTTCTGCGAGGTAGTATATCAATTAAAAACTTGAACTGTAATATGCTTAAACTCCCCTTAGTCAGCTGTTAGTTAATGACAAAGTCTTTTAATACTGATTCAATATATCGTGGAATTGTAAGTCGTTCCGGGGTCCGTACCCTAGTCACTTCTAAGGATCCCTGTGCTGTAAGCTTAATTATAACTATACTACAGTTGCAAATATATACAAATATGTGTTCCTACCTTGTAACCAGCATACCTATTACCTAATGCGTAATACATGATATGAACAGAACAAATACTGCACGACTATAGAACTAATACCAAAGCTATCTGCTTTGTATCAGTATAACACACCTTATACTAGTATACAGCTACTGCACTCTCTAATGACCACGACTACCCCTAGTCACGACTAGCTCTAACGACTATACCTAGTGACGACTTCCCTAGCCGCGACTACCCCTAGTCACGGCTAGCACCAACGACTATCCCTAGTCACGACTAGCTCTAACGACTATACCTAGTCCCGACTAGCCTGGTCGCGACTACCCCTAGTCACGGCTAGCACCAACGACTATCCCTAGTCACGACTAGCACTGCACAGCCTATGCCCGTGACACCTTCTGTCTAATGGTATCTCGCTACAACACTCAATCGTTTATTTAACATATCTTCCATGCAGTGTGTGGATCAAGGCAAGACTTGTTCAGTCACTTCTATCTTTCCAAAACAAAGCCGGTCTCGCATATATTAGATACTTGCGATCTGTCACTGCTGTGCACACGCCGAGATCAGAACAGAACTGGCCCGATTGCCGCTGGATTCTGCCTATTTATACCCTCTTGCTATCCTAGCGACACCTAGCGGTGAGTGAGGTATAATCCCCTGTACGTTTTGATTGTACCTCGAAAACTATTTGTCTTCTAAGCGTTCGAATTACGGAGACATAACACAAATGGTTAACGCCGACAGATCAACGTATCTAACCTGAATAATATGCTAAATCAGCGAAGGGAGGATTACGATATGTACATTTGATTCTGTGATAAATGTACATATCGTAATCCTACCTTCGCTGAATAATATGCTAAATCAGCGAAGGTAGGATTACGATATGTACATTTATCACAGAATCAAATGGTGGCCTCACCAATTTACCTTGTAAACGAGTCAACCGTTAATGTATGTAAAAAGTGTCAACATGCATATTGTACAGGTTGGGAACTCTCACACATTTTTAGATATTTTTTTAAGAACAGTTTATGTTTACGTCCGTTTCAGAAAATCCCTCAATTTTGTCTCTGTAAAGCGGGACTGTTTGCATTTCCGAGTGTCTCGAAAACTCAAGAAAGTTCCTAACCTGTTGTACAGATACAATACAAGCGACAATAAGCATCTTCAGATAATACCTTTAAAGGCGCACTAGGCAAAGTTTGCAACATCAGAAGATATGTTATTAATATGAAATTAATTATATACAACTTAAGTATTATTTCTTTAATACCAAGTTTTACGTAAAGACATGTTAAAATTTGTAGTTAACATATTATTTTCCCCATCACAATGTGCAAAGGTTTAGTTTGATATCATAATTATATGAAAACCTGACTAAGTTATGATGATTTTTATGTAAGTTATTGACAGTTTGACACATACATTTTGTACAAGGAGCATCAAGTATCATGAAGCGTCTTTACTCCATCTTAAAATGCTGATGTAAAAGTAAGCGACAAGTCCTGAATTTCGCAATTTCAGGGGTTTGTCAACCTTCATTAGGTTATAGTTGAATTTAATTGATTTGTAATGATCATTCAAAATATGATTCTACACTTTCCACATTTATCATGTGACAATTTCATATTTTCCATTAATATGACAGAACAGTAATTATAATTCATGATGTGCTGATCATGACCCACCCAACACCTGTGCGCATGATTTGACACTGACCTATGAGATATAGTCATCAGGTAATAACAGTTATAGTTTGTTATTGCCATTTCTTGAAAAATCCTGGATGGATCTTTCTGAAACTTGACATGTAGATTCCCCATGGTCCATAGTACATGTTGTGCCCCTTCAATTTTGAGTCTGATTGGGAAAACAACATGGCCACCAAGTAGCCATCTTGGTTTTGAAAGTTGAAGTTTGTTATCACTATTTCTTGAGAGGTACTGGATGGGTCTTTCTGAAACTTAATATGTAGGTTTTCCTTGGTCAATAAAGAAAACAAGATAGGCCAGAATAAATTTATGACATACTAGATTTCCATCCATATTTTTTTCAAAATCCGGTTTGGGGGGGGGGGGGGGGGGGCAAATTTATTTTTAACTCTCCTCCCTGAAGGCAGCTGTAGCATGCTGGGGTGAAGGGCTACCAATTTTGTTCAAATGAATGACCTTGACCGACAATCAAGGTCACGGGTCAAATAGGCTAAAAACTTTTAATGACTTCTGCTCTATAACCAAGAGGCCGGGAGACCAAATATTGGGCCTGTAGCTAGCATGCTGGGGTGAAGGGCTACCAAGTTCAAATGAATGACATTGACCCACATTCAAGGTAACAGGGGTAAAATAAGGTGAAATATTTAAATGACTTCTGTAAACATTACTTATTTTTAGGTGATAGGGTACATGCTATTTTATTGTTAAAAAATATCTGTGTAAGATAAATAACTCGTAGATTTTATTGTTAAAAATATCTGTTTAAGATAAATAACTCATAGAAAAAAAGAAAAAAAAATTAAAACCATAATCAGTGACCAGCTTTATCACTGACCATTCCAAACTGTTTTCTGCACTTAATACCATGCATATGTACACTAGCTCTGCTTGGTTTGTGTAGAATAATACTGCATACTCTTGATGGACTAGAGGAAATTACCTCTTACAACATACATTAAAACTTATTTCCCCTCATCCAACTTTGTTGACACGTAGTATCCTCGATTGTGGCTATATTTGGGACTAAAAACACAGAATTTGCATGAAATCTTTTACACTAGTTTTGAATATACATAAAGCCTTTAGGTCTTGTGTTTAATGTTGGTAAAAAATCTGTCAAATTGTTAGACAACAATTTCTAGTAGTGTATAATTATGACTGAAATTGTACACATGTTTTCTTAGAGCGAAGTAAACATGAAGAGGCAATCTGGAAACTTGCCAAAGGCACTTCATTAAGTGGAAGTAAGGAGACACAAGTTATGGTTGGATTGGCCCATCACCTGTTTTCGCAGTTGGTCCCAGGCAAGAAGTATGAAGTCGATAAATATGCAAAGCAGCTTCCAAAAGAATGTTGCTGTGGCTGTAAGGCTACGATTTATGGTGGAAATACATCAGTAGGTAAGATCTTAACACACACACACACATGCACACACCCCTACTGTTCGGCATAATCATTTGATGTCTAAGATTGATATTGCAGTGATTGAATGCATATTGCTTTGGTATTTTACAGTAGATATTAGCTCATCTTGTCCGAAGGACGGGGCCCAATAAGGGAAATAGTGGTGAATCCTTTAAATTGCTACTTGTCCTGAACGACTGAATGCATTTTGATGAAATTTGTCTTCAGAGTTATTGCCCAAAGGAGATTAAATGTTGTATAAATGGAGCGTGTGGCACCCCAGGTGATGTAGGGGCAGAGCTTATTATAGGGAAAATAGTGGTAAATCCTAAAAATAAATCCCTACTAGTCCAGAACTACTGATTTCATCTTGATCAAATTCAGTCTTGAGCATTAATGGGCAAAGGAGATCCAATGTATAAATGGAGGATGTGACTGGAGGGGAGTTGCCCAATAGGGGAAATAAAGCAAATTCTTCTTTATAATCCTTCTTCTGTAGGAATGATAGATTTTGGTCCATATTTGATAGGGAGTATCCTTGAACGATGGCTCTGTTCTCCCCCCCCCCNCCCCGCCCCAGGGGCTTTAGTAGCAGGTCATGTAAGGGAAATATAGCAAATTCTTTTAAATCCTTCTTTTTAGCTCACCTGGCCCGAAGGCAGGAACTTCAATGTGAAGCTCGAAACATGCTACACGATGCATTGTGTCTTTGGAAATAATCAGCAAAAAATTCATTAATTACAATCCGTCCAATCTGTGTATCAATGTTTGTTCATTTGTATGCCGTCTTTCGATACTAAAAACACTGAAGAGTTTCAATATCAAGACATGAACATTAACATCGATAGCTATTTTCCCAAAAGTGCAACCTTGTATCCAAAATAACAGTTGATACGAGGCTTTTGGGATAGGGAATTAGCTCATATATGTAGATTTTGCTATGCACCTGAATGATTTTCCGAGAAAAATTGACAAAAAGATTGATTGTTTAGCTGAAAATGCCATATTTTTACCTTTCCCCAATAATAAACCGATGATTTTGAAGAGGAATGTTAAAATCAATCAGATGCACACATTTTTTCAGGTGATTATTGGTGTATTTTTTCTGTTGATAAAAAATTATACTTTGAAAAATAAGATTTAGAGGTTGCACTTTACGAGTCATGTGACCTAACTAAGCCAGCGAGTTACCAGAAAGAGTTGTAATAACGCAGAAGGTGTTGTGTACTTTCACGTTCATGGTGTGTTGAGCACATACAACATTATGAACTTGGAAATAAAGACTAGATAACAAAAGGGTTATCTTTCAGGTACTTAAATAATGTAGAACAACATTAACTGTGATGTGTTCTTAAGAAATTGTAGGATTCTCTTTTTCATTGAATTATATCCTCAACATTACCAAAACAGGCTGAAGCATCCTTGGGTGAAGGGGAACCAATTTTGTATAAACCGTGGGTCTGACCCCCCAGGGGGCGGAGGGGTTGGGCCCAATAGGGGAAATATAGCAAATTCTTTAAAATCCTTCTTCTTCTGTAGGAATGAAAGGATTTGGTACATATTTGGTCTGCAGCATCCTTGGGTGAGGGGATTCAATTTTGAATAAACTGTGGATCTGGCCCCCAGGGGCTGGAGAGGTGGGGCCTAATAGGGGAAATATAGAAAAATCTTCAAAATCCATCTTCTTCTGTAGGAATGATAGGATTTTTTTCCATATTTGGTCTGAAGCATCTTTTTTTGAAGGGTAAATCATTTTGTATAAATGGTGGGTCTCAGCCCTGTGGGCGAGAGGGTCGTGGCCAAAAAGGAGCAAATGGTTATTTCTTTGAAACAGTTGAGATTTCCACCCTATAACCATATATGTGACTGTGACTGTGAAAATGGTGCCAGATGAGGAAAATCATAATTGAGTTCAATACATTTTCTGAAAGCCTATATTGTGAAATGTATAAATCCGAAATATTAGTGGTCTATGTGTTTTCATTACGGAGAAAATTCACTTGATATACCATGTCATTAAAAAAAAAAAAAAAAGTCAAATTATGACATTATACGTGACTGTATTCAACATCACACTCAATTATAGCATCAATATATTTACATCTCTTAAACTAAAAGTCAATCAACTATTTGAACTAACAAAAACAGTTTATTTTCAAAACATGATGCATACACCCTTACAACACACATTTACATACATTTTATACCATAAAGGGAGATAATCCATGTATCAATGATTGTGATCGGAATTTTAATTCTCTTTAATATGCTAAATATAAATTTACCAAATGAGAGGAATGGGCTTAAAGTACATGACAAAGTACATGTAACTAAGAACAGTACAATACATTCAGCAAATACTTACATGTAAGGTATTACTAAGGAAGGAGATATATTTACCGGGTACCGGGGGTGGGGGGCAATTTTTCGAAATCATTAACGATCATGTACATATTATGGTTGTGTAATAAACTATCATTAAGGTCATAGGAGTGTATTGATAAACGGAAGTAGGAAGTACATCCCTAGTTGAAAATCCAATGTAGGGAGACAGTATCACAATTTCCGCATATTCTAATGTTTAATATTAAACTGATGAATATTGTATGTCTATTATTGACAGAACAGTGTTTTCTCTCAGTATTTTTTCAAAGCAATGCAGGCTTTAATTCAGTTTTTAGGTCACCTGAGCTTTAGCTCAAGTGACCTATTGCTATCCGTCTTCGTCTGTCGTCGTCCGTCGTCCGTTAACATTTTACATTTCAAACTTAAAAGTCAAGTTCTATTGGGCCGATTGAACTGAAAGTTGGTAGGAATGATCGACTCATGGTCCTGACAAAGTGTTGTTATTTTTCAGTCAATCAGAAATCCTATATAGCCGCCACGGCCACCATTTTGAAAAACTATTTCAAACTTTAAAGTCAAGTTCTGCTAAGCCGATTGAACTGAAACTTGGTAGGAATGATCGACTCATGGTTCTGACAAAGTGTTGTTATTTTTTGGGTCGATCAGAAATACGATATGGCCGCCACGGTCGCCATTTTGAAAGGCTTTTTCAAACTTAAAGTCAAGTTCTGCCGGGCCGATTGAACTGAAAGTTGGTAGGAATGATCGACTTATGGTCCTGACAAAGTGTTGTTATTTTTCAGTCAATCAGAAATCCAATATGGCCACCATGGCCGCCATTTTGAAAAACTATTTCAAACTTGAAGTCAAGTTCTGCTAGGGCGATTGAACTGAAACTTTCTAGGAATGATCGACTCATGGTTCTGACAAAGTGTTGTTATTTTTCGGGATAATCAGAAACCCAATATGGCAGCCACGGACGCCATTTTGAAAAACTATTTCAAACTTAAAGTCAAGTTCTGCTATGCTGATTGAACTGAAACTTTGTAGGAATGATTGACTCATGGTCCTGACAAAGTATTGTTATTTTTCCGGTCAATCAGAAATACAATTTGGCTGCCATGGCCGCTATTTTGTAAATACCTATTTCAAACTTAAAAACAAGTTCTAATAGGCCGATCTAACTGAAAATCAGTCTAGAAATGATCAGCTCATGGTCCTGACAAAGTTAAGTTAACGTTATACTTAACTATTTTTTACTCAAATTGGTACATATTTCAACAACAAAAATAAATACTGTAGGACTCAGGTGACCGTTAAGGCCCATGGGCCTCTTGTTTTTATCAATGAGTCACATGTATCCATTTTTCTGTACTTCAGGAACTCAATGTTCAATGTGCATATGATTTTATTATAAAATGTCAATTTTTAATCGATTATGGATAATTCATTTGACATAATTTCAGCATTTATTAAATTGATATACATTAATGCAGTACTAATCTATGGCAGTATAATTTTTATTGACATTATTTTGCAAGAAATTGTGTCTTGCATGTTTTTTTTCAAAAGTCACTTCTTTTTACATAAATTTCCATTTAAATTCCTTAAAATTATGACAACCTATATTTTTTTGGTCACAGAAAAAATTCTTTACTTCAAAGCAATATAACTTCAAAATTCTACTGAGAAATGGCGACACAATCCTATTGCCTTAAATTAATATCTGTGCTTCATCAATAACCTTGTAACTCTCGTCAGGGTAAAATAAAGTAAGAATTTGTAAGTTAAGCTTCATAAAACGAAGGGAGATAATCAAACATGCCAAATATGAAGTAGGGGTACAGTGAGATGTAATACCCAAAAACAATTTTTAGCTCACCTGGTCCGAAGGACCATGGTAAGCTTTTGCCATACTGCAGCGTCCGCCGTCTGTCCGTCTTCCGTCCGTACTTATGTACGTCAACTTTTCCTTTAAAACGCTACTTGTCCTGAACGGCTAAGCAGATTTTGACTAAATTTATTATGGAGCATCCTAAGGCCAAGGGGACTCAATTTTGTATAAATGGTGGGTGTGGCCACCCTCTGGGAAGATGGGTGGGGCCCAAAAGGGGAAATAGAGGTAAAACCTTTAAAATCCTTCTTCTATCGTAGGGATTAAGGGATTTTATCCTAATTTAGTCTGTGGCATCCTTGGGTCAAGAGGACTCAATTTTGTATAAATGGTGGGTCTGGTCCCCCAGGGGGCTGAGGGGTGGGGCCCAATAGGGGGAATATAGCAAATCCTTTAAAATCCTTCTTCTTCTGTAGGAATGAAAGGATTTGTTCCATATTTGGTCAGAACCATCCTTGGGTGAAGGGCAACCAATTTTGTATAAACCGTGGGTGTAGCTCGCTAAGGGCCTGAGTGGCGGGGCCCCATAGGGGAAACATAGTAAATTATTCTTTAAAATCCTTCTTCTTCTGTAGGAATGAAAGGATTTGTTCCATATTTGGTCAGGACCATACTTTGGTGAAGGGGAACCAATTTTGTATAAACCGTGGGTGTAGCTCGCTAGGGGCCTGAGTGGCGGGGCCCAATAGGGGAAACATAGTAAATTATTCTTTAAAATCCTTCTTCTTCTGAAGGAATGAAAGGATTTGGTCCATATTTGGTGTGGAGCATCCTTGGGTAAAGGGGAACCAATTTTGTATAAACAGTGGGTCTGGCCCTTCTGGGGGTTGAGGGGCGGGGCCAAATAGGGGAAATATAGCAAGTTCTTTAATATCCTTCTTCTTCTTCTGTAGGAATGAAGGATTTGTTCCATATTTTGTCTGAAGCATCCTTAGGTGAAGGGGAACCAATTTTGTATAAACCATGGGTCTGGCCTCCCAGGGGCCTGAGGTGCGGGGCCCAATAGGGGAAATAGAAGTAAAACCTTTATAATACTTCTACCATAGGGATTAAGGGATTTTATCCTAATTTAGTGTTGAGCATCCTTTGGCAAAAGGGACTCAATTTCGTATAAACAGTGAGTGTGGCCCTCCTGGGGGCAGAAGGGAAGGGGCCCAATAGGGGAAACAGCAAATTCTTCAAATGCCTTCTTCTGTACAAATGACAGGATTTTGTCCAATTTTGGTATGAAGCATCCTTGGGTGAAGGGGAACCAATTTTGTATAAATGGTCTGTCTAACCCCCCTGGCGGCAGAGAGGTGGGGCCCAATAGGGGAAATAGAGGTAAAACCTTTAAAATCATTCTTCTACCATAGGGATTGAAGGATTTTATCCTTATTTAGTCTGGAGCATCCTTGGGCCAAGGGGTCTCAACTTTTTTATAATTGGTGGGTATGACCCCCCTAGGGGCATAGGGGTGGGGCTCTGTTTGAAGTTTGTTCTCTGCAGTACTGGATGGATCTTTCTGAAATTTTATATGTACTTACAGCACCTACCATGGAGTGCTATACCTTTACTTCATGCCAATTATTTTAAACATTTTCAGGTGAGCGATACAGGCCCTCTGGACCTCTTGTTTTGAATTGTCTGACACATATCAACTGCCAACATCAAAATTAATTCAAAAGTGTCTAGTATATACTGAACAGTTCCTAACAAGTCAACAAAACCTATATTCAAGCATTTTTTTGGTTGTCAAACTTTAGGACATAAATGCTGCTTGCATCCAGATCATGTACACAACTAAGCGAGGAAACATCATCTCAACAGTAAACCTTTTCGTTTGCATGGAAGATTTGGTACTTTGTCATTTTCTTCTACTATGTCCACTTCTGATTTAGGCACAGTGGGTTTAGGACATGGACTGTTCTGTGAGGTTTCTGTCTTACAAAATTCCCTAATGTTGTCATATATATACCACTGTCTTGATGGATCTAGTCCTGCTGACACCATTTCTTCTGGTTCATCATCCACAGAGGGAAAGGAAGTCCTTTCTCTTCAGCAGGTTGACAGACACTGTGTGGGAGAATCATTAAGTTCCTTGCATAACACTGTCCGTGGTTTAGTAGAGTCAAGAAGAAAATAGTGATATTTAGTTAGGTTCTTCAATGGCCTGAAGTACTGCTTTAGGTATGACTTCCAGTCTCTAAACATAACTGGTTTGTCCTGATCTTTTACCAACTGTGGAATGTTATGTCCATTTCGTGATGAGTTTGTTACTGCCGGGGCAACTTCCTCTAAAGTTTCAACATTACTGGATCTCCAGCACAATTTCCACACTCCAAAATGCCAGTCAGGATCAAACTTTGTATGACCAGCGATCATCATGGAGTATTGGACGACAATATGCAGAGCTGAAAAATGTAAAAATAGACATAAAACACTTTATATTCAATGTCGAACTGAGAAAGAAAATTAAAAAATGTCTCAACCACAGAGCAGATGACAGTATCAATATATCAAAGTTATTTGCCTAATTAAGACAAAGCTGCTATCGGCATAAAAATAAATCATTGTAAACAATTATTTGCAATGCTTTTTAAAATCTAAATAAAATATCAAATTAAGTCTCTTTATAATCTTATATCCAAAAGTGAGATGTATACAGCACATGCAACTGTACACATCGGAACAAATATGGTGGGAAATAATGCCATGAAAGGCTCCAGCTCTATGTCTCCCTACGGCATATAACAAGATTTGACTGCAGGAATCCAGGTTAAACTAAAGCCAGTACAATATATGTGACACACTGTAACTAACGACTTGTGTACTCGGTACTTACCAACTAAGACCCTCCAAAGGGCATACCACAACACAATGTTGTTCTTATTCTGTCCACTACATTTATCAAAATGGACGTTGGCAATCTTTTCTCCATGTCCATGATGCTGAAAATAGTGATGGACCATGCTGACAACAGAGTTAGCTCCCTTCCCTATCCCAGAGTTTTCAGCCTCATCCACCAAACAGAAAAGTTGCCTTCCAGCTGTCAAATGAAACATAATTGAGTGTAGATCAGTAAGAAAACTATTACTAATACAGCAAGTTTTCATTGCAATGGAAATATCTTAAATCAAAACAAATGTGCGCAAACAATTATCGTCCAATTTTTTATCGTTCACACACTGTGCACACATCATGCGCACACCGCACATCGTGTAACGTTGTGCGATCCCACAATGTGTGCACAGTGTGTGCACAAAGTGCGAACGATAAAAAATTGGACGATCATTGTTTGCGCACATTTGTGCGGACGATCAACGAACGTTCAGCGATAACAATCATGGTTGGTGTAAATTGAGGAATAGCTAAACATTATATAAGGTTTCGTGTTTAAACATATAAGCTTGGATTTTCTACCATGTTTCTACATTCAAGCTACACTGTAATCTTATCTTTCTGTCTATACTTACTTAAATTTAAAAATGGTTTTTTTTTCAAACGAATTAATCTACACACGCAGTCACGGCAACACAGGTAAACATAGCCACTTTGTACCTGGACCGTAGTTTTTCCCCGCCAGGGGCACTTACGTAACTCGCCAAAGTGTGAAAACCAGGTGAAGTGGAGCTATAGACCAAAACAAATGCAAATAACAAATATGAAACGTCCAGTTGTGTTTTCATAACGGTCATACAGTATCACATATCACTCAGCTCTATGTGTCAGGCAAAGGCCAGGTAAAACTCTGGTCACTCATCAAATAATGTTATTTACCTGTTCAGTTACCGAGGAACCAAACCCATTCTTGACAGTTTAACAGTCACTGTATACTGTGTTACACACATTGTAAATTTGTACATAATCTTAATTATAGAGATGAAAGAATTACAGTAATATATATACAGTGTACATTACGGCATACGAGCCTTGTACATGTCCAACAGAAATGTTCAATGTAGAGTCCTGTCATATCTTACAATGGTCAAGTATGAGAATAATTCAGGGTTTATTATTGCAGGATAATTCAGCGGGTACACACGAGAGGATTTGTATTGCTTACAATGTCTTGTTTCAAATGAATGATCTCAACTCTCTTGTGAGGTCACATGGATTAAAAGTGTTAAAATCTTCATAACTTCCTCTCAATTTATAATCAAAAGGACTAGGGTACTAATATAGGTCATTTAGCATGCTTGGATGAAATAGGGCTACCAGGTTGTTCATATGAATGACCTTGGCCCACTTTCAAGGTCACAGGGGTCAAACATGTTATAATCTTCAAACAACTTCTTCTCAATTACTGAAAGGTCCAGGGTACTGAAATTTGGGCTATATCATGCTGCAAATGAATGACCTTGACCAAAATTAAAGGTCACTTGTGTAAAAAAATAAAATCCTCAGTTTAATAAGCATTCAACCCTGGGTTATTTTATGTGGTTGTGTTTGTATGCATTGGAAGTTGGGTTTCCAAGTTTAATTTATGGAAACTGTCTTAACATACAAAATCAGGGCCATTTGTTACCTCTTGTTACTCAGTTGAACCCTTTGTACAGTTTTCTTTGAATTTTTTTATGAACAGGCTCATCAAGAACATGGCATGGCAGAGTAGATATCATGTTGAACCACACAATTGCTGTGACACTAGGGAATGAAGAAACTGAGAGCACTGAAGAGGTTGAAGATAATGATGCAGATGCTGAACCTGAAAGCAAACAAAGAAAGTTGGAAACTGATGGGAATTGTGATATTTGTGTTGAAGTGGAAGCCAATAAGAAACAGGACAATATTTTGGAATCCAAAGTTTTGGAGCAAATCTTGGCTGAAGCTATAACTAATGGATTTGCTCAACTAAACAGAGATGGAAGTGCCCTGTTACATTTCTTAATTCCAACTATTGGAGTTACGTCTGACCAAATATGTGTTTGTTTGTATGACCCAGAATCTGACTGCTTGCTTTTATCAAGTGAGTGGCTGCAGTTATGGGTTCCAGAAAAGGAGATCCTAGCAAATGAAATAATTGTTGCTGTTTGGCTTTTCTTGAACTTCACTGTTTTCACTGCGCAAAAAGTGGCTACCAAATATGATCTTGATCAGTCAGGTTTGCATGCAGAGTTAAAAAATAATTTGCAGCATTACAGAAAGGTAGAAACAAAAGAAAATTTTGTTTCATCTTCTGTACCCTTGAAATATAGCTTTTGTCCTAATAGCAAATGAGTTTATTTTGTGGTAAGTGGTTAGTTGCATGCCATCCATACTTTCAGCCATCCTCTATCTGACTTTTTAGGACATCTGACCTGGAGAGTCAAGAAGACCTATTGCTAGTGTTTGTGCCATTAGCCATTCGTTAACTTTTCTTTTAAAACACTACTTCAGTCAGGTAGGCAATCATTTTTATACGCCCGTCAAATTGACGGGAGTATTATGATATGTTGGTGTCTGTCCGGCAGGGCGGACGGTCGAGGCGTCCTTCCGTCCGTCTGTCTGTCCGTCTTTCTGTTGGGCGTAAACTTTCGTTTGTCTGGCAATCTCCTCCTACATTTTTCACTCAATTTCTTCGAAACTTGGTAGGCTTTATAAAACATGATATGAAATTTTGTCTCCCCGAAAAGAAATTTGATTCATCTGTTTTTGCAAAAGTTATTGACCTTTGTTTATTTCCAGTACTAGATATTTTGTCTCAAAGTGTACCCGGAACGATTTGCAATATTAAGTGTGAAAATACACCACCTTTTTTGTTGACCTCAACTTCATTTAGGTTAACAGGTATTTATCATGTTTATGGACTGGTAACCACACAGCAACCTCACAAAAAGTAACTCTTTATACTAATTGATTACTCACGCTATGAAGTAGTCAATAACCCAGTTGGTGAGAACCACCTTCCTGGTTGAAGACTTACTAGATCGGCAAGGTGAATCGCTACACCACTGTGCTCGCTGATTCTGTAAATGGATACAGTTGAAATATATATAGACAGCCATACTTCAACAGATTACAATAACTATTGTACATGTTCCATTAATCCCTTCAGGAAATTGTAGTTCTATGCAAGTTTAAAAAAGCAAACATTGCTATCCTGTGTAAGTTTACAAGAGGAATACTATGTTTTGATCTTTCACACATTTTGCAATATACATAAAAGTTATTGTGATGTAAGAATTCTGTCATGTGTGTGAGCTTTGCTGCTTTGCCCATTACATATCAATTTAATTCTTGGAAAATGTGACTTTTTATGAAATTCACTGGTGAAAATATATAGTCACAACTTGGTTTGAATTAAATATTGTGAATTTTACATACACCTAGTAAGAATAACTCATGCCTGTGAAATTTATTTTAAATGTCAACTTTCACACCAAAGGAATAACTAGACAACCGAGCTCCATTTGATTGGTTAGACAGATGATGTACATGTCATGTAATGAGTGTATACTTACACGACCTTTGGTATTGTGGAAACATCCCCACAACAGATGTAGGTTTTCTTCCCCTGCTCAGTGTAGAATTGCCTTGCAATACCATAGCATTCTGGATTTGACTTAATTCCACAACGATAACATGGGATCAATGTGGAAGTTATATCACAAACACACCAGCCAATGTCGGTTGCCTTACATTTCTTAATGCTTGTTACCGTGAGCTAATGATCTTACATCAAAATGATATGGAAATAGTTTGTTTCATTTTTTAAAGTTTTTGCCATGTTTTGGACAAAACTTTTTTTAAAGTTTTTAATTGCTTCCAAGTCCATAAATGTACATCCCATACCCTTCTCATTTTGGTGTATGTATTTATTATCGGTCTACATGTGATAAAATAGCAATTGAGTGTTAGAAATACTAATTTTTTACTGAATTTTCAGTTATTTTGGATTTAATTGTTAATCAAAACTAAGTATATTCACATAACTTTTAGAATTTCAATCAAGCTCACAAAAATATCATCTGTTTCTGTGTCAAATGCATTAATTTAGCATTTATAATTTATATCTTAATAAGTTATTAAAATTGTAGTATAAGCATTTTACAATGGCTGCCATCGGAGATTTTCACATTCATTGATTGCACTTGTCATATTTCCTACATTTGTTGACTTAAACCATTGAAACTTAGTATGCATTATAATCATGATATGTAGGTGCAGTGCTTAAAACATATTTCATTACTGGTATAATTATGAAGTGAATGGTTTTAGTACAATACATTGTTGAACTCTGACATATGTTGTGTTGTGTATTAATCATACTTACCTCTTGCCATCCTTTCCAGAGGTACCACATTGTTAGGTACATTACTGTCCCCAGTTGTCACCCACAATATGTACAGGGGCTCCTCTTCACCTGCCCATAACTGAGGATATGGCTTTACAACTGTGGTGTAAAGGTTTGCTAGAGTGGATGGGGTGCATTCCTGGAACTGCTTTATATATCTCTGGAGCTGTGAATAGCACTTGCAGGAAACGTATATTTAAAAACAACAATGAACATTTCAGTTACTATCATTTAACTCATGCTGCTAATTTACTGCACCTTCATTTATCACATAGAAATAGATATCAGCAAATTTAACTTTATTATCATAAACTTTATTTGAAAGAGTTTTATGAACAGTTATCACATCTGAAAGCAAATACTCACATGACATTACAGATTTTACCAAGTAATTGAAGCTGAATTTCTACACATGATGTTGCTATATTTACTTAGTGTACAACTCTATGGACACCCAAAAAACCCACTTACCAGAATAAGTCGATGGTCGCATTGTTAGCTGAGCTTCAGATAGTAGGACCTGTCTCAGGAGTTCACGTTGATTTGTCATCTGCTCAAGCCCTCTTACTACATTATCTCGCGATGCCTCCAGAAGGAATTGCTGTGCATCAACCCCTCGAGCTATGAACTAAATTGTTAAATAAAAAGGTTATCCTATGATATACATGATGATGAAACTGTATTTTGTGATGGAATGTTTACGAGAAATTATATTGACATGTTTTTGAAATAGGACAAAGTCATGTTCTCCTATATTCTCATATGTCTTCAGGCTCAACACCATCAGTAAGTTTCATTGTTTTGGAAACCTATGTTTGTGTTTGTCCAAAGCTTCTCAATAAAAAACAAATACACATTGAATCAGTATAATATACCACTAAATCATTACTATAGTAACATTTCTGTATAATTCATTTTAGAATAACTAAATAACGATATATATTTATGTATGTGCATACACTTAGATTCCTATGTCAACAGAAACGAAATAATTTCAGTAAATATTAAATCTATCAATTATCCTCCTTTAAATATATTCTCTTGACAGATTATATGATTAAATCCCATAAACTCATGCAAAGACTCACAAAGTACCTGTTCAACATAGCTTTCTGCATGTAGGAAGCTAAATAGTGCTGACCCAAGCCTTATCACATCTCTGCCATCATCACCACCATATGCCATCTTACACACGGAAGAAAAGAAACAATCACCCTGCTGTAAGCTTCGATAAGCCTGAAATCCCTTAGGAGGAATAAATGCATTTTAGTGCATTTACTACAGGAAAATGTACAAAACATTTTAATGTGCATTACTGCATTTATGTCTATGAAACAAATATTGAACAGAAACTTAATCACATCATCTCTTAATCCATCCACTTTGTGACATGTATTACTGCACTAATCTTCATGGCCAAATTATGGTACCGTCCCTGGTCTGCTTTTCACGATTTAAAACCATAAACTTGTCAGAATTCAATAGTCAACAAAGAATGTACAGCTAGGAACAGCAGTGTCAATTCTGTACTGTAACTACTTCTGTTTCTCGATGACACTGCTTTTTATTATCTTCTGTGTCTTGAACAACTTATTCTTACACGCTACTGTACTATAAAAATAATATACAATATTTAACCACTAAGTATACTTGAAATGACATTTTTTTATAATTAAACAAACCACATTACTGATATATATATGTTGACAAACTTTCATAAGTAAAACTACCGGTTCTCTTCAATGGTTTTGAAGGAGACAGGTGGGCGGCAACAAAACATCAATCAAAGGTACTGCGACTTTTTGTAAATCTGCAGTGCAATGAGTGACATCTTGGGTACATAAGAAATTCATAACGGAAAATTATACTAATTTTGCCATGTAATATCAAATTAATCATATGTTCAATTGGGTTATGTTCAACATTCAACAAAGCAAACAGAAATTATGCTATAAGTGATGCCAATAATATGAGAATGTAATATTCACCACAGAACTGTATTCCACCTTCCCGTCCCTCATTCATATAAAGGACAGTGATTGATGGCGCTGGATTCTGTTTCTTCACAAACTTCTCCACCTTTAGTGTAACACACATTACATGGTAAGCCTCAAGTGATGCACCATTATAACTTCAATGGATATTAAATGAATATTCCTCAAACAGAATTCTATAGAACATTAGCAGATATTTTCATGCATTTAATAATATGTGATTTACAATAAATATACCTACTCTCAACTTTAAATGTTTCCATCCTTCCTCCAACACCTTCCTTCTTCTGCTCATTCTAATTACCACAAACAAATTAATTTGATTTGGACTTTGTCACAACTTCCTTACAAAAATTGCCATATCTTTACACATTAAGCACCATGTCCATAACAAAGTAACAAACAGCCTAAGGGACCATATCCTAAGCACCATATTGCTTTACACAGTAACGTGTTCAATTTTAAACAACAAAGGTTTTTTAGCTAAGTAACACACTCCCATAACACAGTATCAAACAGCAAACATACCATTTATAATAAGCACCACATGTTCATTTGGCATAAGCACCACATATCTAAACACAGAAACATCAATTTGAAGCACCACATGTTAATTGGGCATTAGCAACACATCACTTAACACAGTATCAAACGGTATAACATACCATATTTTAAGCACCACAGGTTTATTGGGCATAAACACCACAAACCTAAACACAGTATCAAACGGTAAAATATACCATATTTTAAGCACCACTGGTTTAATGGGCATAAACACCACATCCCATAACACAATATCAAACGGTCCAACAGACCATATATATTAAGCACCACATGTTCATTTGGCATAATCAGCACATATCTAAACACAGAAACATATCAAATTGATGCACCACATGTTATTTGGACATTAGCAACACATCACTTAACACAGTATCAAACGGTATAACATACCATATTTTAAGCACCACTGGTTTAATGGGCATAAACACCACATCCCATAACACAATATCAAACGGTCCAACAGACCATATATATTAAGCACCACATGTTCATTTGGCATAGTCAACACATATCTAAACACAGAAACATATCAAATTGATGCACCACATGTTATTTGGACATTAGCAACACATCACTTAACACAGTATCAAACGGTATTGCAGACCATATTTTAAGCACCACAGGTTTATTGGGCATAAGCACCACATCAGATAACACAATATCAAACGGTACAACAGACCATATATTAAGCACCACTTGTTTATTGTGCATAAGCACCACATCAGATAACACAGTATCAAATGGCATAACAGACCATAGAGTAAGCAACACAGGTTCATTTGACATAAGCACCACATACCTAAACACACCATCAAACAGTATAACAGACCATATATTAAGCACAACAGGTTTATTGGGCATCAGCACCACACACCTTAACACTTTATCAAACAGTATAACAGACCATACATTAAGCAACACATGTTCATTTTTCACAAGCATCACATCCCATAACACATTGTCAATCGGTAAAACAAACCATATATTAAGCACCAGAGGTTTATGGGGCATAAGCACCACATCAGATAACACAGTATCAAATGGCATAACAGACCATAGAGTAAGCAACCCAGGTTCATTTGGCATAAGCACCACATACCTAAACACACTATAAAACGGTATAACAGACCATATATTAAGCACCACAGGTTTATTGGGCATAAGCACCATATCAGATCACACAATATCAAACAGTACAACAGACCATATATTATGCACCACTTGTTTATTGTCCATAGGCACCACATCAGATAACACAGTATCAAATGGCATAACAGACCATAGAGTAAGCAACACAGGTTCATTTGACATAAGCACCACATACCTAAACACACCATTAAACGGTACAACAGACCATATATTAAGCACCACAGGTTTATTGGGCATAAGCACCACACACCTAAACACAGTATCAAACCGTACAAAAGACCATATTTAAAGCACCACATATTTATTGTGCATAAGCACCACATCAGATAACATACTATCAAACAGTATAACATTCCATAT